GGTCGGTAGGTCGGTAGGTCGGTAGGTCGGTAGGTCGGTAGGTCGGTCGGTCGGTCGGTAGGTAGGTAGGTAGGTAGTAGTGGTTAGAAGTAGTGGTTAGTAGTTAATGGTTAGTAGTTAGTGGTTGGTAGGTAGTAGGTGATCCAGCACCAGCACCAGCACCGGCAAAACGAAACACCGATCCAGAGCCACACCATTGAGAAGTAAGAACCCCCGTAGCTTACAGCTATCTGGGAAAGAAATTTACACCAGCATAGACCCCAGATAGCAAAAAACTTGCGGCAGCACTCTCAGCACACTGCAAAGGCACACTGCAGCGGCAAGGTGGCGGCACCCTGCAGCAGCTCCAGCACCCAACCTCCCAAGCGCACACAGCAGCGGCACCCTGCAGCACCTAAGCCCCCAAGCGCAGCAGCTCGAGAACGCACACACGCAGCTCTTCCTATACTGGAACATGAGCAGCACCCTGCAGCGGCACCAGCACCCAGGCTCGAAAACCCACACATGCAGCTCTTCCTATACTTGAATTAAGAACCCCCATAGCTTGCAGCTATCTGGGAAAGAAAAATGGAACTACCCTCCAATCTGGCACCCCTTTGAAACCTCCTTTTTCAAATCTTTTCGCGAAGGGATGGACAGAGCGCTCCCTCCGGTCGGCGGCGGCCTGCTCAATGAGACCCGTCTGTTCATAGCGCCTCAGTGACGAAGACGCATGGCATCTTCGACACGGCCGACCGTCGAGTCCATTCTCCCGGAAAGGCAACCTGTCACCGTTGAAGAACAACGAATTGACCTTCATGGGGCTATGGGGCTAGCGATGTAGACAGTGTAACCACCGCCACTTAGGGATAGGTTCCCATATCGTTTCAGAATTATATAGGGCGCTTGGTCCCAAGCATCCTCCCACAAGGATGTGCTATGCTCAGATCCTTGACTAAAATCCTGCCTCACTTGGTGGCTTTTGACGTTTCTGTTCATGTTGAGCTTCCTTTGGCCACATTGTTTGGAATTCTGGGCGGGTTGCCTTCCGCGTGTAATTTCCTTGAGATGTGAGCATTTCTGTGACTTCTGAAGCCAAAAGATTGTAACTTGAAAACCTAGGTATTTGGACCCTCCAAACCCACCGCAAAAACACCCTCTCAGACCTAAAAGAATCTATAGAATAAACCTCCCGATTCCAAGAGACTTCTTTCGACAAATGAAAACACACCCAGAACCTAAATACTTAATCTTTGCCATATTTGCCTACCTTGGGGTGGTTTCAGGGGTCAATGTAGGTCTATATTCCATACTGGGCCCTCTCTTTTTCCTGGGCTTCCCAACCAGAGCTGCGCGTCGATCATCGCCTCAGCGGCGGGGGAAAAAGATCGCGCTGCCTGCATTTGGCAGAAACAAACACGCCCTGTCCATGCCAGGCAGGCTGTTTTTTGAATGTTTTTGAGGATAGAGGTTTTCAGAATGGTTTGAGCCAGTTTGAAACTTTGGTTGCTCTTGGGACGCTCCTCTTTTCAACCACCCAACGAGACTCATATAAGTCTATCCCCAGTGCCAGCCCCTGAGCCCAAAAAAAGATCGTTGCCATGGCGCCATGCGGTTCGCAGAAACCGCGCTGCCAAGTGGTCTTGGAGCCCCAGCCACGCGCTCTTGCTTCTCAGGCTTCGACAGCGGCCACTCCCAACCTGGCACTGTAAAGAGAGGAGCACTCGGCAAGGACACTGATTCAGGGAAGTGTTGTCTGGAAGGGAGGGGGGTAGAGTTTCGCCGCAAATCTAGGAGATAACCAGAAAATCCCTCTTTGTACGAGTACCAAGCCTGCTTCAAAAAGGCGAAGACTTTGGATGACCAGTAATGGTCTTCGGCGATGCACATTTATTTAGGTACACATGTACACAAGTCGAAAAAAAGTAGACATTGCTGATCTCAAATGTGGCACCCGATCCATCTGCGGTCCAATGGATCTGTTTCATGTTTGAGAGATCTGTGGTTCCCTGATCCATCCGCCGCCATCGGCACAGCCGATGTGTCCCGCGTCCCGGGTCGTGTCGGTGTGGCATTTGCTGCTGGGCGGTGGCGGAAGCAAGTCACCTGAAACGAAGCGAGTGGTGATTCATGTGGTGCAAGTCATGGAAGGAATTCCACAGGAAGCTGGGGTTATGACCTTCAGCTATGCACTATAGAACGCACCTAGATTGTACATAGATCTCTCAAGACATGTGACAAACCCTTGGTTCGTGAAAATCACGAACTCAACAAAAAAGTCCCCGTCGTGCGGCAGAAGTGAAGGTCAATGGTCCGGAATCCTACAAAACCCAGGAAGCAGAGGATTGACTCCTCATGAAGCTTCGTGATGGGGACCTTGTTGCTTGACACGGCGACATGGCTTCAAGGAGGGCGGTGTGCAATCTTGAATTGAACTTTGAAGTGAAGTCTTTATGGAATGCATAGAAAGCTCGAGGAGCCTCCAACCCCAAATTTGGTGGAAAAGCAAATGAGAACCCAGAGCCCCAAAACACAAGACCCCCAAATCTACAACTCACATTCCATCATAAGCGGATTGAGTCAAAATCTGACTCCAGTATTCTACAGTCACACCCCAAAAATGTCTCCTACAGTCTCCAAAAAAGACAACTCATTGACTAGGCTCGTCCAAAAAGAAAGAAGAACTCTCTATTTGGGTCACCTATGCCACTGCACTGCACCGTTTTGGGTTCACTTCGCGCCTGTGGCCTCGCCCTCGCCCTCGGCCCTAAGCAGCGGCCAGCTCGGGGGGGAAAACAGACGAAACACAGCTGGCTCTGCTTGAGGCAGAATGATTCGAGTTGATTCGAGAAGACAAACATGGAAAACATCAACACACAGGGATACCCTATGGTACACAGGGATACCTCTATAAATACCATTAAATACCTATATAAGATGGTCTTCCTTTTTTTGGCATGTCTGCGCAGAAGTTTGGACTTCCGACACTCTTTCGGAACAGGCGTCTCGGTCCAGACCCTTTGCGCTTTGTGTCCGTCCTTGGTGTCCGGCCGGACGGCACCCGGGGCACCGGTTTCGCGTCGTTTCGCGTCGGCGTCGCACGCGTGCCGTGTTTAGAAGAATGACATCATGGCGGTTTTTCCCCCCCAAGGTGCTTGAGGCAGAAGTGGGTCTGCTCAGTCAACTAGTAGAAGGAGTTTTGGTTGGGACGGGTGATCACACGCACCGAATCGCGCGCTTCTCGCCTGGCACTTGGTGTGGAGGTGCCTCGCTGTGCCAAAGGGGGCGAACTGAAAACGGTACCGGTGCCTCCACCGCTCCACCGGATTTGATGTTCGGACCCCAAAGCAGATGGAGGAAAACCAAAGACATGCTGGCGCATGCACGGTTCGAAGTAAGGAGAGAAGAGATGGTACTTAGTACTGCTGCATGCATGAAGGAGCACGTGATAGGGAACGGGTAGGAGGTCACAGATGCCTGAGATGCTCGGTAGGTTGGACTCTAGCTTCTGAGCCCAAAAGTCCAAATAATCAAATACAAGAAGTACCACTCACCACCGTCACAACCCCCCCCCAAAACAAACTTGAGAGAGGAGGGGGGTGAACGAAAGGTAGCAGGGAATCAGGCGTAATCCGGGAGGAGGTGAGAGGCCCCCCACTTGTTTGAAGAGAAGTGAGTGGGCGTGATGAAAGAAAAACTAATGCACAAACGCTTGACAAAACCTCCAGAAGCTGTAGCGGTCTAGCGGTTTCAATACAGGTTGACGTGCCTTCAAAAGGAGTCACATATTTCTCAAATGCAACTTCGGATTTACATAGTGACGTGCGGCGACCCTGTAAATTGCGTGGCCGCAGGCCATGCTTGCAAACAGGCCGTGCTCAAAAACACTGGTATTTACGAGGTTTCGTTGCCGTCGATCCACAGCCGCGGCAAGGTCTAAGGCCATGCTTGAAGACAGGAGGAGCTGAAAACACTGGTATTTGCGGTATTTTGTAGCCGTCGATCCAAAGGCGCACCACGGTTGAGCGCTGGAAAAGCGCAGAAAACCGTGTAAATACCGGCGTTTTCTGCCGGGAAGGTGCACAAAACCCTGTAAATACCATAGTTTTGTGCAATTTTGAAGCCTCCAAAAGCCTCAAAAACCCTTTCTGACAAAATCTTTCCTGGTTTTTGGTCTTTTTTCGGTCTTTTTTCTAACCGAGACGCATCAAAAACCATCGGTTTTTGCGGTGTTTTTTTGCCGGACAGCCACAAAAAACGCTGTAAATTCCATGATTTTTGGTCACTGCTGAGGACTGGAAGAGCTGAAAACACTGATATTTACAGTGTTTTCGAACGGTTGACCCCGAGGCGCGCTAGGGTGGAGTTGAAAGGGGGGGGGGGGGGCCCCCCCC